AACTAAAATCTGATGATGTCTAATCTAGTCTGAATGAAGAACGAAAATGTTTACATATTTCGCGCAACGGGATTGCCTGTTACGTATTTAGGCATCATCATCATATTTTAGTTTTGCGCTGTTATAGAGTGACAATGTTGTTATAACCATAGCGCAACGATTTTTGTTAGAAACGTCCAATCACATATTCTGAGAGATCAAAAATTGCCGCACATTTCACACTGTTTTTGTAATTAGTAGTTGAAATAATTGTACCACGTTCTCGAAGAAAAGTCCGAGTAAAACATGGTGTAGTCACGTCTAAAAAGTTTTATTATAAGAGAAATACTTTCATATTGATTTCAGTTTCTATCATCAATACTTGGTAAAAGAACAGACGATACAGTTCAGACTCGTAGCTCAGTCAAAACGAAAAATACTGAACTAAAAATTCTTCTTGCCTTCTGACAGATAAAGTTAGAAAGATTGTAAGATAGATAAGTGCTACTGCTACGACGTGGTACTATGGTAATTAATTACCTACAATATGATTGTCAAGAATATCTAGGTCAAGCTCAGGTTTTGATTTGTTCCAATTGCTGTGGCATTGGGCATTTTAAAAAACAGTGCAAACAAATTGAAACAACTTGTAAAGTATGTGGAGAAAAATTCTCGGACATAAAACAGCATCATTGCTCTGCTATTAATAAATGTATTCATTGTGGAGGAGAGCACCGGTCTAATGATCCAAGATGTAAAATAGTAAAAGAATATCGTTCAGATTTAACGAAAAAATTATTACAACATAGTGAAAATGTACATAATGGTCGGTTTTCACTATCTGCTTCTCAATTCCCAAGTTTAGGTGCTGCTCAACGGCCAGTAGTACCGTGTGGTGATAGCAGTAAGGGTTACGGAATGATGTCAAAGACAACTGATAATACGAGAATGGATACTAAGTTAGATGAAATTAATAATCGTCTAGTCATGATTATGAGTACATGTTTTACAATGATGATGAGAAACGTTGAATTAGAGAAGTATATGAAAGAAAAAGAAGTGAAGCAAGAACAATTGATACGAGATGTTGCCAGTGTACAAATGGATGTTAAAGTACATTCAATGGAACTAAAGCATCGTGTCGTACCTGTGTTACTAGATATATGTAAATTTATTAAAACATTAAATAGTGATCGAACTTTGGACGCCGAGTTCATGACGTCAGTTGATAAAGGTATTGTTATTTTATCTAAATATTGTAAAAATGAAAGTTTGTTTTCTCCTGATTCGGTTTAATGCCCCTGTCAGCTGCTGCAGACGTATTTTACCCACGTTCCTTTTCTTCTCTCTTTATGCCACTTTCTACTCTGTTGTCTCTAAGAGAGTCAACGTTGAACATAGCTAAAAATATTTTCTCAAATTCTGATTTCGCGTTGTTTAAGAGTC